CCCCTTTGCAAGTCTTTTTAATGTCTGGCTTTAGAAGACAGCTGGATTCTCATATGTTTCTTCATTCCAGCTGTTGTAATTTGTTGGTTTATTTGAAGTATATGAAGAAAATCTTGCCTTATACACAAAAGGGAGGAGTATTATAACAGCTTTTTCTGATAATTGTGGATTATTTTTTATTCACACCAAACTTAACAAAGAGTAGTTTCTTAAAGTTTCATTTTTTGCAGTATAAAATCTGAACCATAATGAGCAAACTTTTTATACTCTTATAATAAAATCCATTGGTCGGTCTTGCACAGAATGGATCTTATGTAATGTCATTCATTGGCCATTTGGAAAATACTGGTTTACTGAGTTATACAGATCTTCCAAATGTTGACACATTTTAGTATACTTGATACATTTCATTATTTAAAAAGTCACTTGTGTTACACCGTTCTCATCAAAAAAGTCTTTAAGTACTAGGAAGCTTTCAAGCTCATGTATTCAAGATACGGTTTTCAAAATCATTTTCATTCCATTCAAAATATTTTCTAATTTCCCTTATGATTTATTCTTTGACTTATTGATTATTTAGAAGTATAATGTTTGATTTTCAAATATTTAGGGATTTTCCAGCTATCTTTCTGTTACTGATTTTAATTTCGTTGTGGTCATACTTTGTATGATTTCAATTCTTTTAAATTTATTGCAACTTGTATTATGACCTAGAATATAGTCAATATTGATAAATGTTTCATGTATGTTTGAAAATATTGTATATTCTCTTGTTGAGTGGAATATTTTATAAATATCAATTCAGTCAAGTTAATTTTTCAAGTATCTTTCTGTTCTTTTTGGTTTTCTGTATATTTGTTCTCATTATATATAGAGAGGTATTGAAATCCCCCAGTTATAATTGCAGATTTGTCTTTTTCTCATTTTTTGGTTGGTCACTTTTTGTTTCATGTATTTTGAAACTGTTATAAAGTTTATACACATTTAGAATTATTATGTCCTCTTGATAAAAATCTCTAAATATTTGAAAATTAAACATTATATTTCTGAATAATCAGTAAGTTTTATCATGGTGAGCTGATCTCTCTACCTTGGGTTCATCCTTATTCTGATGTTTACTTTGTTGTCTAGGTTGTTTAGTTTGCCTTTGATTAGTGTTAGCATGAAAAGGAAGTACTTACTATGTTGCCAATTCTAGAAAATTCTACAACTTGCAGACTAATTTATAGTAACAGAATGTAGATCAGTGGTTATCTGGGAATGAGATTATAAGGACAGATGGATTACAAAGGGACACTGGGAAACTTTTGGACATGATCAAAATGTTTGTCATCTTGATTGTTATGATTTTTCAAGCATATACATATGTAAAAACTTAACAGATTGTACATCTTAAATGTATG